TTGCATTCTTTTACAACGGGCATACTTCTCTACTAATTTTTCCCTTGCTTACTATTTTCAGCGAAGCCCAGGATTGGTCAATTCGTTTCTTCAGTTGACCCGCGGTCAGAGCCGACCTCTCCAAATCTTGTTTATCTAAACGTAGAGAATTTAGTAAGAGCTTATCTCTCATGATTTTAAATTCGGTTTTTGGCAGCCTGCAGTGTGCCTCAAATGGCGTCTGTTGAATTGTGTTTCGCTTAGTCCACCGCATATCCCAACTTATTGTACTGAGACAGAATTTGATCAACTTCACGTTTTCTTCGATCAACATAACCCCGAGTCTTCTTTTTATTGTCTGAAATGTTCTTTCGACCAACCCGCAACCGCGATGGTCACCCACCGGGCAAAATTTTTGCTCAATGTTATTATCTGGACAAAATTTTTTCATTGCCTTCTCTTTAAACACCGAAAACTAGTCCTGTTTTTTGACTCCTGTATACCATGATTGTCGATGCAAGATCTTTGTGATCGTATAACGGGCCTGCAGAATCCAACAGAACATTTTTCGTGACCCGGCTGCGAGGGAAGTAGAAGAGGTTTTGAAGCGTTTTTCGGGATTATATATTTTGCATCCTTACCGTATCTAATACATTTCCTGCACTCCTCGGCCCGATTGATGATGTCCTTATGCAATTTTTGGCCACCACAAGTAGTTTGAAACATTGAGCATTGCCTCTTGTCCCGGACGGCTCGATGGATTCTCTTCATTACGGCAGTTCTGAGTTGTCCTGCAACTGCTAGTCTATTATCTACTAATACGCAGTCGTCAAGGACTGACAGCTGGTTTCAGAGCGGGTTCGTTCATGGAACCATTAGTTCGAATCCTGCCCGGTCGTTTCGCTCTATGACCCATCTTAAGCAATCCATCCATACGTCTTCGGATATGAGCTCCGCTAACTATTTCTTGTCAAACAGTTTTGACAGGCTGAAGATTCCCACGTCACCTAGCTATTCGTTTTGTCAATCCTCCCTCTTAGAATTATGCTTGACTCGCGTTGGCGGTCGGGCAAGACTCACCTCCGGGCTATAATCATTGTCTTTTGCTGTTAAGTCCACCTTAATGATTGCCTTCGTTGTTGGTTTACTGTGATCGCAACTAGTTTTAAGGCTGCCAGTGATCATTTGTGTCGCCGTTTCTGATTCTAGGATATTTCCTGGGTATTCTCTCATGTCTCGGTTAACCAAGTCCTGAAATGATAGCAATTTAACCGCCTCTTTTCGTCTTTGTCCCACGTTACTGCTCGTGCAATGGCAATATCCTCTTCCCAACTTTCAGATGCCGATCTGTCCAGAGCTCTGCTCCTTATCTTGCATGTCTGATGAAACGTCGTTTCTGTCGCTTATTCCTCCGTAATTCTTTCTCTATCAACGGTTCTCCTTTCATCTTCGATCCTGACCATTTTTTTTTCGCTTTTTGACTCTCCATCTTGTTCCGACTGAGGTGTTTTTTCCACTGATATAAAAAATTGATTAAATTGTGTTAGAGAAATTGCCTAAACTGTTTTGTGACAATGTATTATGAAATTTTGAGAGTTGTGAGTTGGGAAAATTCTCGTTATGGTCGAGCTTTGCTCGTTTCTTGACCGTTTTGGTTGCTATTGCAACCGTGCCTGGACCTCAAAATTTCTGATTTCTTTTGATGCATAGAATAGTCTAGAAATTTTTTGCTCCGGTTGAGCGATGCTGTATCACTAAGCCTACTGTATAAGCAGTCGAGCGCTTTGTGAAAACATTCAATTTTTCATCTAACATTGACGTCGGCCACGGATCACTGTTCGGTTGTCTCGGTAAACAATCAACAATTCCCATGTCTTTTCCAGGAATAGATATTCTTTTGACTTGATATGTTGATAACCTATCTAGCCAACGTGTTAGTTTCGGTTGATAAGTTTTTTTGAACAATTGCCTTCTAAGGCCAATGTCAATGCTTTATGATCGATTACTATTGCAATCATTTTCCCTAAGAAGTAATGTTTAATTCGATCAACCGACCAAACGACTGCCAGCAGCTCCAGTTCACTTCTGGAGTATTTTCCTCTTGACTTTTTAAATAGCGTGAAGCAATTAAGATTGGAATCCAATCCACCTCCTCCGTTTTTTGCTTCAGAGCCGCACCCAGTCCGCTATGACTGGCGTCACTTTTCATCCGTGTTTCTTTAGACAAATCGTAATAATTCAAATTTGTAATATTAGCTACTGCTTTTTCGATTTCCTCAAATTTTTCCGAGTGTTTTCCCCCCTTCAATTTTTTTCTACGAGCACTTTTAAATTTTTCAATATTCTCTCATTTTCTTCTTGTAACAGTGGTCGGAGTTTGTCCGTCAGATTTGCTGCGTTTGCTTTAATTTTAGAGAGATGTTTTATACTTCCCAAATATAACCTAAGCTGTTTCAACCATTTTGGATGCCCTAATTTCAGTATGGTTTCCGTTTTTTGTGATTTTTGGCGTAACTCCGTTTTCTGACAATTTTTGTCCCAGTCAACTTACTTCATTTTTAAAGAAATCGCACTTAGACAATTTGAGAGATAAATTCTCTTGATTCAGTTTTTCTAATACCTCTGTGACCAGCTTTTCGTGTTCCGATTCCCGCTCTTTTGGTTACTAATGATATATCATCCAAAAACCAAAATGTAATTTTTGCGTTGTTAATGATGTAATCCATTGCATTTTGAAATTCTGCTGGCATATCAGCCAGACCAGAGAATCCGGATAGAAGTCTATAAGTACCGATCGCTTGACCTCCCACTATCTTAAAATAACTTTGTTTGGCAACTTCTGCGGTCATTTTCAGTTGACTGTAAGCGTATTTTAAGTCAAGTACCGTAAACTGACCCTATTTAGTAATTCATCCATATTTGGCATCTGATACTTATTTTTGAATAACTTTCTGTTTATTGCTCCTTGCATCTAGTTCCAGTTTAAAGAGGTCAGATTGTTTTACTGTAATTACGATGGGGCGATAAAACAATCACTTGTGCATTTATCTAGTCGCTGAATATGGCCTTCTGCCAAAAATTTTGTTAATTTTTTTCAACTTTGCTTTGGATATGTATCGGTTTTTTTTCTGCCCGTTTCCTGAATTGGGCACAATAGATACTTGAATTTAGTGTTAACCACGTGATTTACAGATCGTCCTGGACGGTCAGAAAGGTCTTGTTTTTTTGAATAAAATTTGTTTTTCCAACTTTCCGACTGCTCGCACAGTAGCACGTCAAACCTGGACTTTTGTTTTGTGGCTGGTATGGTGTAGTACTTATCCTCACTCTATTCTGAAGATCGAGCTCCAAAATGGATCGTGCACGTCGCTCAGTTTTTAAGAATGCGGCCTCCTGTTCTTCCCATCATGCAGAAGGTATGTCCGCCTCTAAAGCCCTTAGTATTACAATAGAATGCTTATTCTAATCCACTTTTCCTTATTTTCCAGCCTCACATGAATCGAAAATTTGTATCAAACTGCACTCTTCCTCAGAGCTCTCTGTCGCTTCAGTGATCTCATTCTCTTGTTGAAATCTCCACAACCGAGCGAAGTGGTTTGGTTTGCTTTGTTACAATTTTTACACTTTTTTCATTGCTGGGCAATTTTTTTAATTGTCCCTCTAAAAACGGTTTTCCACATGGTTTCCTTTCTGTGTTGTTCTTTGCCATTGCTCTCCTCTCTGGTTGCTTTTTTCTAAATTGGTCTCGGTTGTATCTTTCACCTGCCTGTCCTCTGCTAGTATTGGTTCCGGTTTGATTTTGATTTGTGATCCAGATCGTGATATTGCTGATGCAACATTGGTATTCGATTTTTGAAATGCCTGGGTTGTTTGCTTACTTTACTCACATTTTAATGCCCGTTTTAAGACTTCAAACTTAAGGGTATCTTGGAGTGTGGACTCTTCATTGGGAGATAGATAAGAAATAAGTCTTCCACCAATTCATTTTCCAGCGCACCTAACTCTGATTTCGCTGCCTGAGCTGTCAAAGCTGCATGGAACGCCTCCAAAGTTTCTCCCGTCTCCTACGCTCTGTTGAATAATTTGTATCGTTCGTAAGTAAAACTCGATATTTTTCGAACAGAGCTTTGGCTAGTATTACCATTTCTTTGTATTCCAGTTTCGAAATTTCTGCGTCAGAGTTTCTCTGTATAAATCGTTTCTTTCTTCATGTTCCTAGGGAGAGAAGCAATCTCGATACCGGGCGTTTTTGTAATTCATTATAATAGATGTTGTGACCTATTTTTGGTCATGTCTCTCTTCTTTCTGCATTTTCAGATGCTACACGGTAATTTGCTGATCTATCTCGAGGTTCGCGAGCTACTGTCGCAACAGCATCTTCGCCCATTCGGGGTGTTTTTGGCCTCGGTTCTGGTTCCTCTATGACTGGTTTTGGATCTTTCAATATGATCTCTGAATTTACATTCCCCTTTACTATTACTGCCATGAAGAATTGATCAGGCCATATCTTGAAATTCCACGGTGGGTCTGAATTACCTGTGGTCCAGAACACAGGGATTCCCATGTCAGTCCTACTGTCTTGTGACAAAAATCCTGCTGGTGCGCCATGTGGCAACCCAGAGCAGCTACTCGTTTGTTTAGAGGCAAAACAATAGTTATCAACTGTTTGAATTCAAAAGTTAAAATTTTGTTTGTTTTCTCGCTTTTAACAGTAGCTAAGATCAAATAGCTGATTTCCATATCTTCTTATGGCGAACTGAAAAGACCAAAAAGTAATCTTCTGAAAACAGCAACACTGACCTTGACTATACATAAGTAACAATAATCAATAACATAATTACAAAGCACCAATAATACACTGGACTGCAAATGCAGTAATAAACTATGTTTCCGCTTAAGGTTGCTGCAACCGCAGTGCTACATTTTTAAACAACGTTGATTGTTTAATCATAATTTTTATCTTTGTTTAAGCAAAAATAAACAAACGTTTAAAGTTGCTGAATATCTTGATAAATATTTACCTGATACGTATTAGGCTCAACGGATGAATTGAATACTGATCTGAAAGCATCTGAGGGATAGCTGAAACATAAGAAGTGAAAACAAATGAAGTAACGGAACCCGTTTTAATATGTTATGATCAGATTCTATCTCCAGCAAGTGATAATTTAAATTGGGTAAATATTTTGGAAAACTTAACCAAATTTTTGCTTTTTTGTCGTGCTTCCTCAAAAAATTTACATACAGTTGCGCTGAAGGCTTTTTTAGAAAAAAAAATGAAGTATTGGCCAAAAATGAGTGAAGTAAAGTAAAGTATAAAAGTGAGACTTTTTGAGTTGTGAGATGTGTCTGATCCCTGAGGGTGCGCCCCCTCCCTAGCTCTGCTTCTGATATCAGTAGATTTCCAAACATTGCAAACAGTGATACAAGTATGATAGTTGAGTCCCTCGAAAAAGCAAGTCTAGAAAATGGGTCCCACCATTTTCATTAAAACCTCAAAAACGCAAGACACAATTGCACATATTATTGCCGTAGATATGAGCCATATTTTTTTCTTGTGGGATTCATCTATGTTTTAGGAACCCAACTACCATACTGGTATCGAAACAGAATCTTACCTGATGTAGGTAACTGTATTGTTCAAGGGCATTTCCAGGTGATTTTTCTCCGCAAACCGCATCAACATCTTGGCCATAAGGTCACTCACGCACTAAGATTACAAAGTGGAAAACATTATTTGAAAAAAATGGCTCGAATTACACTTACTGAAATTCCGTTTTTGAAATTGCAGCACAGCCAAAACTTTCCAAAAAAAATTAATTCAACTTTTTTTCTAACTTTGTACATTTTGAGAGTTTTCCAACCAAAACTATAGTTTCTCCACTCTAGTATGGTCTAATAAAGACTTTTATACATTTTAAGAATCCATACAGCAAAAAAAAACAATTAAAAATTGACAAGAAGAATTGTTTGGCGGGGTGGGGGGTATAAGGAACATACCTTGTGAACTTTGACTAAAGCGACGTTTGTCTTCTTGTTTGCACATGTGGTTGATGATTGCATTCGATTCAAGGTCAACTGGACGTTATTGTAGGTTACATTATACGAGTCGCTGCAGTTCCAGATCAGAACGCTTACGAGGGTAACAAACACAAGCACTAGGAAGGACTGTTTGCCTCGCTAAAACATATATTACCATAAGATTGAGAGCCTAGGGTCACAGTAACAACGTATTTCTCTCGGATGGTTTCCAGAACTTAAAATGATGCTTGCAGTACAGATGGAAGGAAACTTTTTCCATTTAGTTGTCTTGCTTGAAAATTAGGTTGTCTAGCTAATTTAATAAATTCTCGGCGGGTCATTAATGCGAATCACGCTATTTCCTTTTTCTTTCTTAAATCAAATAAAACTTCTAACTTTATTGCGGGATTAGACGTATTAAAACAGGTTCAGTCTCATTTATATTAGAAAAATTACAATTTAACAAATCCAGTTTAAACGAAAGATATAGTTATTCGGTAGTAAAATTTTTAAAGAGAGTTGCTTAAATCAAAATGATTGATGAAATTTCAAAAAAGTTTTGAGTTTTTTGAAATTCATCACCTCACACGCTATGTAAAGTACAATGAGTTAGGACCGAAGTGTAACTCATAGAGTAATTTCGGATAGGGTACACCGTCTGCTCGTCACGCTATCTTATTTTCGGCCGGATAGATTCGTGCAACTTCTTAGTCTAATACCGATCCTAATCTTACTCTTATACTATCTAGTCTCAGGTTGTTTAACTAGTCTCTGCTAGGCTCAATAGATCTAGGGTATACTGGTTTATTGCGGCTGCTGAAGTGTTCGGGAGAGTCCAACTAATTTCTAAGTTAAATTCAAATCTCTCTGGTGCTGAAATTACAAGTAACTTCAGCACTTACAAATAAGTGGGTTGTTAGTTAGATGGATCATGATTGGTTAATATTAAATACTTTACATTGGTAAAACATTTAATTTATCCAATCATAAAATATAGTTTAGATCAGGTTCCACCCATCCGGGTTTTACAGAGTTTTTTAGAATAGTTCTTCTGCAATTTGAAGGATGGATGAAGGACGTTTGTTTTTGGCGAACATCATAATTTTCTTCCGTTTCCTCTTTTGTTAGGGAAGTTCCAGGAAGCTGGAGTTAGAGACATAAGACGTTGTGTCTTTTAGTGACAACGACTACGTCTTTGCAACAAACTCAAATCTGATTTCAGAATGGTTTGCTATGTCAGGTTTTTCTGTTCTGCGTGGAGAACTTCTTTTGTGTATGATCTAGTTTGGGAATGGCGTGGAGATTGTGCGTGGAGGGGATGCCTGGTTACTCGGATCTGTACGTATACTTGAACATCGAGGTGGTCATTGGTCTAGTTCAATGAAGTCCTTTTCTGCGAGGTCAAGTCGTACTCTAAATCCTTTGAGTTGTGATTGTGAGCGGCATATCGATTGTAGTTGGTCATTCTCTCTCGAGTGTAGTGGGGTCGTCTTGTCTTTTGATGTTCGTCCTTGGTGTTGTATTCTGATCTATATATTGCATCATGTGATTTTACATTTTATAAAACTTTTATTAGTTTAATATTTTTTAATAATGATTTTAGTTAGTTGTTTTCACAAAAGCTTTTTGTTTTAGTTCGGTTATTTTGAAGAGTTACTCACACTTGAGTAGCTCTTATTAAAAATAGTGGTGTGGTCACAAAGCGTGGATGTAGCGCGGTGGGTTAGGCCGGCTATAGAGCATGCTCAGGACGTCCTTCCTGGTGGGTTAGGCCAGGAGTGGGAGTATGATTTCATGCGGTTTTTGTGAGGGGTCCTGTTATGTGACAACGTTTTATGTTGGGTTTGTTGTGGTCTTACTTATGTCTTGTTGGTTATGTACTTTTTCCAAAAAGCAAATTGTTTGTGGTATGGGTTTGTCTTTCGACTTTTTTGTGTTTTATTATTTCTTTCTAAGACTTTGTAATAGTCTTCAAAAGAATAAATTATCCAGTTTTAAACTGGGTTAATCCGGTTTGGGTACCGTTGGTTTCCTTTTCTAAGTCATGCTGTTATTCTATGATTTGTGGTATTTAGTAAGCTGCGTTGGTTAGTTTTGTTTAGTATATGATTCCTTTCCAACCGGGTTAAAGGAAAGTTTGAAACATGTTATTATATGTTAGAGTTGTTGAGTGTGAAAACTTGAAACTGAAATTCATTATTTTAAACAATTCTTCGTGGGTGAGCTGTGCGAGTGTGGATAGAATTTCTGTGCGAATGAATGAAAATATCAAAAGGTTAGTACTGCATTTGCATTTATTTAATTTACTACATAGAATTTAGAAATTTACTGCTAGTCATGGGGGAATATTAAGATACAAATTTTCATCATAATTAGATTTACTGCTTGTGGGGGAAAATTTTAGAAATGAATTTACTGCATTGGTATTAAATTTATAAATTTATAAGTGTAAGAGATTAATAGAATTTTTGAAATCTGTTTGATGAAATTTGCAATATTTATTTGTTTTTTGTGGTTTTTGTAGGTGATCGTCGGATGAAGGCTAAAAATCTAAAGAAAACATGAATAAAGTATGGTGAGTTTTTTAATATTTAATTAGTTAGTAATATTCATTTAATTCATACTTACCTGTTAGTCGTCGGGGAAAAAACCGTGGGGGAAGATGTCGTGAATTAGTTCTGAAGTTGTTAGTAGTTTAGCTAAGATGCGGATGATATTTTTAGTTTGAAGCAGTGGCCAAAGCAATTGAAGTGCCTTGATAGTGGTTAGTTCTTCAGTGCCAACTGCAAACTCATAAGGTGTGTTTTGGATTAAGTTATATAATTTGTGATTGAATTTAGTGTTGTGGATGAATTCTAAAATTGGGATTTCTATGGGTTGTACAAACTCGTGCGGGATAAGGAAGGGTCGGGATTCTTCGGCGTTGAAGGTCTTGGTAATGGGACAGAAGATGTACATTTGGGTTATGGGGTCATAATTACGAAGAATACCATGGAGGTTAGTGTCTTTAATGCAATATGTGAAATTTAGGAAAAATGGTGAAGTGTATTTGGAATTAATGAATTGAAAACGATGGTGTGGTTGTCTAGAGGGTGTGTGTAGGTCAAAGTGATTTTGGATGAAGCGATAATAACTATATGTGTGGGTTTGTTTAGTGCGCAACATAATATCGTGTGAGCAGTGTAAATCTCTTTCGTGTGGTGCAAGGAAATGAAAGGTTAGTGAAAATATTTGGAAGCGTTCTTTAAAACTTTCGTATGCTTGTGTGTCTGTTAGTGCTTCTGAAATAATGTGATCAAACTTTCGGTCGAAGATGTTTAGTGTGAATATATATGGTGTCTTGATGAAAAATTTCTCGGTAATTTGTGGATTAGCGAAGCGATCGTCGTCTAAGAATTGATCTTGGTTAGCTCTGATGATGTTGTGATCATAGTATTCGAGTGTATATTCGTTAGCTCTAGGTGCAGTGTGTGTTTTTAGTGATTTTTTATATCCAACGTAAGTAAATTGTCTAGGTGTTAGTGGTGTAGTGAGTCGATATAGCATGTCCGTATTTCGCTCTATATCGATGTGAGTGTTAGATAAAGGTAAGCAAAGAGGGTTAGTGAAATGATAATATGAGGTCCAAGAGAGAGTGGGCATTAAAACGTATTCATCTACGAAGTTGCGTGTTTCGTTAGTGTCGTGGGGGGTGTTTAAGGTGTATTGTGGGAATGAGGGTAAGGTGATGGCTAAAAATTCTTTTGTGTTAGTATGCTTGGGGTGGTTGATGTATTCACGGGCTGTTCCTGGTTTTGCTGGGAAAGGATGGTTGGGGAACTTTCTTTTAAAAGTGCGGTAAGCTCTATTAGTGTTGAGTGAAGATTCTGTTGATGTGGATGATGGTGCTAATGATTCAGTATAATTTGAAGAGGGTGTAGGGGTAGGGGGGTTGGATGAATTTATAGTGGAGGAGATTTGGTTTATGGTTGGGGTATTAAGGTGGTAGGGTTGTTGTTGGAGGGTAATAAAATTATCTAGCTCTGGGGAGATTCGGGGGGTGTCTGGAGAATGAGATGATTGGTCAGAATGGTATGAGGAATAGGTTGGGGTAACTTGGGAAGCATAAGAGGGTGTGGGAGTAATTGGGTCAGGGTTATTGGATAATATGGGTTGAAAAGGGGGTTGAGAAAAATTAGAAGAGTTATGAAAATTATTGGATGGGGATGGTTCTGAGTCGGCGAATTCATCGGGGGTTTCAATATTCGGGTTATTGAGTTGTGAGATGGAATATAAAACTGAGATGTGTGAATTAGTGTCGGAATTCATGCCTGATGTTACATTACTAGATGGAAAGTCGGGTGGCGGAAAAGCAAAAAGTGGTATTATTGGGATTGGAGAGGTAAGAATGGTTGGGTGGGAATTTGATCGGTGTAGTGATCCAAGTTGGCGGCTCATCGTGGGCTAAAAAAATGATTATTTTGAGACTGAAAAGCGGTGGTATGGGTTTGTTCAATAATTTGTTCATAAGTATTATCATCTTGTGACTGGTGTGTCATTATATGTTGAATGGGACTTTGTGATGTGGTGAGTCGAAAATTTGGATTATGTGTGATGGCTAAGTTTCGAAAATTTCGTGGGACTAGGGATAGTGGATGGTTATTTGGTAGGGCTGGTAATTGTGGTGCCGTTGGCGTTATGTCTACATTGTTATGTTCTTCGTCGTATGTATTTTGTCGTGTTGTTATTTTTGTGTTATATTCTTTTATTTGTGCGTCTAAAAGAATTTTGTTTATAGATGTAGAAAAGATTCCAAAAAATCCTGCAAATAGTATGCGTGCTACACTTGCTTGTCTGTTTACTTGTGTGTGTATAGCACATGTGTTGTAGATTCCTTTTAAAAGTGAGAAAAGAAATCCAATAAAGTTAAACATTGCGTATAAAATAGTCAATTTTTCTAAGATGTAGTAGGGCCATCCTAGAAAATCGAGGATCTCATTTTTGAGTGTAACAAAGCTAAAAATGTTAATTGGTGATATATCTTGGGGACGGTATTTTTCACCGTTTAGATATATATAATCTTTAATGTCTTTAAAATATCCGCTATAGTCTTGCGTGTAGATATCGGCAAATCCTGCGGTTTCTGCAAGTTTGCGTAAATTTTGGTCTATTGATTGTCT